GCAATTCCCTCAGGAGTCGATGGCTTACTGGATGTACACCAGTCTGAACAATGAGCATTTAAGTCACCTAGAATAATAGTTGCGTCAAAGAAACATTTTTTAGTTGCAAAGTGTATAAGAACGTTATTTATATGGTTACAGACATCATCCAAATCATTATGATCAGGCCGATAACACAAGAAAAAAAGATATTTCTGTTTTGAAGCAGATGTTAGTGTAAAAATTATTAATTCTAGATCATCGGTTTCTAAATTTGAATGCTGCTTTATATCTAAATCTTGACGTGCATATAATAGGCAACCACACCCTCGTCGATTCCTATCTCTTCTAAGTGGTGCATGATAATTTGCAAGCGCTATTCGACGATCATCGGTGGTTGGAGTTAGCCAAGACTCAACGACTGCAATGAGAGCCGAGTTTGAACTGGTAGCAAATGCACGAAGAGCTTCTAATTTAGTAAATGAAACCATAGTGGTGTCAGATTTACATGCGTTTGGAAACGCAAGCGACAGAAGACTACGCACGTTGAAAAGTGATATTTGCAAATTTCCATGTGCTCCTATTATATTTGAATTATGTGACATCATTCTGATAAAAAAGAAAACAAGCGCTACTCCTAGTCATCTCGCAACGTGTTGAAATAAAAGAAAGGAAAGTTGTCCTAGAAAACAAGGGGAGAGTAAAAAAATGTTTTGTGTTTGTAGTCATGCTTATGATGAATGATGCAAAGATTGTCAACCTATACACTATCAACAGTAGTTTAACTAGAAGGAAGAAACTAACGGAAAGGAAGAAAGAAAAAACACTATGAGCATTTTTAAACTTAACAGTGTCAAATATGAGTCATATTCTTTTTACCGAAGTTGTGAGCTCGTTGAATCAGTTTGAGCTGGATTCTGAATCTGCGTCTGATAGGAAATCGCATCGATACTATTAACGGAATTTAAATGAATACGTTTCCCAGCATCTGCATAATAGAAGACACGCCCGTTACTGGAATATATTCGGTGACGTTTGCCTTTATCTAATTTTGCTCGCACTGTTGAGAAGATTTCAAGGTTGTGACGTGATAGATCTTCAGACATTTTCACTTTTGAAAATGTAGGTTGTGCATGTAGTTGAGACAAAGCTCCTTTTGAAGATGAGCTCCTTTTGAAGATTTAGGATATTTAGGATATATAGGGTATATAGGATATACAGGATATATAGGATATTTAGGTTTGCAAGTTTGCAGCTTCTTTTCCTAAATGTCCTAAATATCCTATATACCCTAAATAGAAGATAGAAAGCTGAAAGATTGAACAGCTGAAAAACCTTGTCAGGGTAGCACCTATCGGTGCTAAAATGCGAAACTCATAATTATACCGTTATAGAATAAATCAGCTTACTTTTATAAAATCAAGTAAAGCCTCTTTCAAGATGGCGCAACACAAGAACCCATAGAGGGGAAATATAAACCAAAGATCGAAATAACATCGCGTAAAAGCACTGTTAAATCATGTAAAGCCATCCTTCAGATGGTGTACATACACATCTAATTACAACTCAATGTCCCTAAAAGATGTGCATAACTTTAAGATGGCGTAAGGTCACTGTAAGATGGCGCAATGGTCACTTTAAGATCGTGTAAAATACAATTTAAGATCGCATAAAGGTACCAATATCAATCGCGTAAAAGTTTTCAGATCGCGTAAGGGTCTTTTTCAGATGGCGTAAAGTCTTTTCAGTTCGCGTAAAGGGCATTTTTTAAGAGCGTGTAAGCAGGGGGAGGGGGGTCCAAATTAACTAGTATACGCCTGGTTTTTGAGTATAAACTGAAAGTCCCTGTACTTTGTAAGACGGGAGGAGTTCCACAAAAGGTTACAAACTCCGCATGTTAAGGACCCCCCCGGCCAGAAATACAGAATTTTTTCTAAAAAGTCGATACTGAGCTAAATACATCATCAGACAGCCGATGGTGTCTACTATCACATTCCATGGCCATTTGGTCTTCATCAAAGTTGTATGAAGGTTTTTAGAAAAGTTTGCTGATAGCCTTGAAAAACTGATTTTTCGAAAAATTTCACCTGCTGATAAAACATCAAAGCCAAAGACACTTTCAACAATACTAGGATGTAGAGCAAACATTTCTGATCAAAGTGAGATATCGCCCAGCTTTGGATGATGTCTTGATCAAAAGTTATGAGGGTCTAGCTAGAAGCCCTAAAATATGCATTAGATGCTAGCGCCACCGTATCTGGAAAGCGACGTTCACTTTGAGAGCATTTCGCAGCTGCAAGATTTCTCGGTAACGAAACGTCGTTGAGAGGTGGGGTTGGTCGTAAACTGAAGTTAACAGGTGTGGCTAGAGCCTAAGGCCTTGTCTACACTTCAAAAGATAAAGCAGCTTTAAGCAATTCTCTTGGCTGAAAGTTAAGGGAGAAATTAAGTGATGTTTTCGACATCATTTAACTTCTTCCTTAACTTTCTTTAATTATGACTGGCCATTACAAGCTAGTAACAACCTTGCATTAGACAGTGAATGTTGTTATGGCATTATTTTTGCGTAACAGAAACAACCTGTTGGTTTTCTCTACATCAGCTCGCGGAGCTATAACCATGGTACAACAAGGACTGAATTGCAGATCATATTTTCTATGAGATGTGCAGTGTCAAACTGTTGACAGCGCTAGGATGGTTAATTAACGCTGTCAAAGAGGAACATGGGGATATCTGACTGGTGCATTAACTTTTGTAGTGTAGACACCCTCCAAGTTAACTTTGAGTTAAGTGAAAGTTAAAGTCGAAAATTGCGTAGTGTAGACAAGGCCTAATAGAGCCCGATTTTTAAAATTCAGTCCAGATTTGTGGTTAGAGAAGCATCTTTGTGCAAGTTAATGAGACTTTTTCGAATTTTTGACTTTTAACGCCTACTATTTTTTCAGAATGCAGAATATCAAAAATCCGGCTCTATTAGCCTCTAGGCACATGGGTTTTTGTCGTTTTGAGATCGTCCCGAGTTCTTCATCACTTAATTTGACGGAGAAATCTTGCAGCTACGAACAACCCCATTTCTACCACTGCGGTGGCGACATCTCACGAATGATGACAGATTGAATGAAAAAAAATTTTAGCTAAAAGATAACTAGCTCTAGACACAGTTTGAAGACTTCGACAATGTTCCGAAACAGAATATTCTCCCACCACTCTAGCCTAGTGAGTCGGTTTACATCCTAAACATCCGATTGTCTATGTTTCTGTGATTTTTAATCCGACGCACTTCAGAAAATTAAATTTGGGGCTTAAAAGTAATTCAAGAAAGAGATTCAGGCGCTGAGGAGGATTCAAAGTTCGATTCTGTCTCTTTATTGGCAGTTGTTTGGTCCGTTGTGGCCTATCAATGTTTCTTATGATCTCTTTATTTCACTGAGCCACGACTCTATACTCTAGTTTTTCAACATTTTATTATACGCTATAGTCTTCTGTGGATCAGAATAGACAGCTCTATTGACCAGATATCGGANAATAAAAGCAGAATAACAAAACATCTTCAATAACACAGCCTGTCGTATAACTTATACAAGAATATTCACGTCATATTCAGATGTAATGTATATCGAGAATTTAAGTTTTCACTTTCAAACATTTTGCTTCTTGATTTTGCTTTCTCAAAGTGATACGACAGGCACGTGTATTCTTGAAGATGTTTGTTATTGTGCTTTTATGTTAAACGAAACGTACTAAAACAGAACCATGACTATCGGCTAATAAGAATATATGTGGTTTTTCATGCATTGTTGTTTTTGTTCTTGTTGATTTAGATGTGTGTGAATTGAAGCAATATTCCTTCTTTCGACCACGTGAATTGTGTTGTAATTGCATTTAATTGATGTTTTGCACGTGCTTTTTCTCCGACTTTCAGCTATTTCTTTCTCTTCGATTCAGGAACTGATGATGGAATATTGTCTTCAGACCGATTTAGGAGATGTTCATGTGGATGACGAGATGGTTGACGTGATGAATGATACGAACGAGTTTGGGATGATGATTGTTGTCGGTACGTGTGTCGCTGATCATCTTCGCGTCGTTCAACACTGGTACTACTTGCCGTTTCCGGCAGCTGTAAATGTGAACGATTTGAAGATGGTGGACGTTGCACTGCTGATGTATGATTTTGATGAAATGAATGATGATGATGTGATGATTGAGGATATGAGCGACGATCTTCATGCCATTCCCTGCTATTAACAGCCATTTCTGGCTGCTGTAAATGAAAACGGTGATGTGAGTCACGTCGTTCGTCATCCTTTTTGTTGATTGATTGTGTGGATGTTGATTTGATGAAGATGTTGTTGAAGATGAAAAACGATAATGATGTTTATTATAATTCATGTTCAATTAACTATATGAGATATAAAGCAAATCAACAAAGAATTTAGCGCTAAATTTCTAGCAAGCCGTCGCGAGCGGTAGCCAGAGAATTGTAAGTCATTCTCAACTATAACATTACTTATTTCTAAACTCAACATTTCTATCAGTTCTTTCCCTACCACTTATGTAGTCCCTCGAGCTCAAAGTTTTACATAAGTTAATAAATTGTATTGCTAATATTTCTTGCGTATATAAAAGGACCCTATTCTATTTTAAAATAAGTTAATAAAGACTAAAGTCCCATCAACGAGCCTGTTCACTTCAGTCGGAAAATTAGAAGATAATCCGTATTATGGTCTATACAATAGATATATGTTAGAATGGAGAATAGATTAAACATAGTATTAAAGAATGATACTTATCAATTGCACTTAGTAATTAACGTAAATTCAGTGTCGATGAGAATAGGTCGTAAATCTCCAACATGCACTCTTGATTCTGTATTTGTTTGTTCATCTTTAACTATATATGCTGAATGATGACAATTTATAATAACTTTCGGTGTAGTGACGAGAATTTTGGTTGTCATTTATCACCACGTAGAAATATTCTAGTTAGCATTAAATCGCCAATATTGTAATGAGGATCTTGACGATGTAAATCATACCTATTCTAATTTAATTGTTGTTGTTGTATAATGTTTTCTTTAGCCAATTTATGACAAATTTTTAATGTTCTTTGAAGTTGAAGAAAATAATTATTTGGTTTTGGAATGAAAAATGAGCTGGTTTTGCATCAGTTGGTAATCGCGGCTGTCGTCCATACAGAAGTTCGTATGGGGAATATTGTGTTGTCTTATGTATGCCTGAATTGTAAGCAAATATGACTGCCTGAAGATACTCATCCCAGTTATTATCCTCTGTATCTTGCAATTTCGAGATTTGTGGAACAAATGTGCTATTAAATCGTTCAACGATTCCATTAGTTTGTGGATAATACAGTGCACTACATATGTGGTTGTAACCGATCAGCCTTTGTATATTTTTTCGATTAAGATGTTTTGAAAATGTGGTCCTTGATCACTTAATATCACTGACGGAATTTCAAATTTACAAAAATAGTCATGGAATACTGATTGATACGCGGTTGTTTGTGCTGTGCAATCGGGCAAGGCTAAAGCGGTGATGTGCCTGGTGAAATAATCCGTTATCACGAGGAGTTCTTTCGAATGGAGCGCAGTAGTCAATTCCAATCATTTGAAACGGTCCTACTGGGGGTGATATAGGGCGAAGTTGACCATCTTTTTTCTGACGACTATAATTATATTGTTGACATAGCATGCAAGCTTTGATATGTTGGATAATGATATATCTCATTCGTGGCCACCAATATTGAGTTTTAATCGTGTTGAACGTTCTGTCTGTTGAAAAATGACCGCCAGTCATAGGATCATTATGAGTGGCATAGAAAAATGGTTTAATCATTGATTCTGGAAGATAAATTACTTCGATTTTTATTTTAGAATAACGTGACGGTGAGATCAATTTATACAGAATGTGGTCTTTTATAACATATGATGAATTCTGGAAATTTTTATTAAGATTTGCAATTATATTTTGAATATTAATATCCTTGTCTTGTTCTTCTTGTAATTTCCAACGTCAAAATGATTTGAAGTGAAATTTTGTGGTATTTGTGTATTCGGAAATTTGGCGTTTTCAGAGTCAAAGTCATAGTGATCAGGTGTTGTCGGTCGTTGTTGTCGCTTTAACATTTTGATTTTTTCGTGGTCTTAATGTCATTGTCGATAATAAATTTGGATGAGAAGAAGATTGGCCTCCTGCTGCTGCAGCTGGAAAGCTGTAGTCTCCTTACTTGCAATGCCATAATTAATATCATTTAATGTATCATCTTGTTCTCTTGGATGTCTCGATAAATAATCTGGAAGACAATTTTCTCTGCCTTTTATATGAATAACCTGATCGATGTTGTATTCTTGGATTAAATTGGCAATTCGGTCAACTCTTATGTTTCTAACTGTTTTATTCATAATGTTGCATAGCGGGCAATGATCAGTCATGATGATAATACTTCTACCGAGCATAAAAGGACGCATTCTCGCGAAGCATTTGTAGATGGCAAGCGCCTCCTGTTCTATGGTACTATAACGTTTTTCACATGGTGTCATGAGTTGGGAATGATAGTATAAATTATGTAGTTGACCATTGACTTCTTGTTATAATACTCCTCGTATTTCCCATTGCCACTTGCATCAGTTGGCAGGATTAATGGTTTATTATCAACAGAAAAGTTAAGAAATAGTGGTTGAGATGTTAATAGTTGTTTTAAACTGTTAAAGGCTTTTCTTTATTCTTCCTTCCATTTAAATTTATGTCTATTTGTTTTCGTCAAATTTGTAACAGCATGAACAGGAGCAGCGAGGGTGGCAAACTGAGGTAGGAATTTCCTATACCAACTCAAAGCGTCTATGAATTTGTTTGCTTGTGGTAAAGTTCTTGGTTCTTTAATTTCTAATATTGCTTTTATTCTATCATTCATTGGTGTCACAGTATCTTTTGTAATAGTATGACCAAGATAGTTGATTTTTTGAACGGCAATTTCACATTTTGGAAGGTTTAAGACAATCTGTTTATCATGTAATGCAACAAAAACTTGGTTGAGATGACCGATGTGTTCGTCGAAAGAATTTGAAAAGACTATTATGTCATCAACATAGACAAGGCAAAACGAACGACACGATTTCAATGTATTTATCACAACCTTTTGAAATGTTGGTGGTGAATTTTTAAGCCCCATTGGAAGCACATTGAACAGGTAATGGCAAAATGGAGTGATGAAAGCCATTTTTTCTTTATCTTCTTCGTTGATCGGTATTTGATAAAATCCTGATTTTAAATCAAGTTTAGAAAAATAATTATATTACCTAGTTTTCTAATGGTATCTGCCATATTTGGCAATGGTGATGAATCTTTGATAGTGAGTAAATTTAGTTTTTTATAGTCGATCACAAGCCGATGGTTACCGTCTTTTTTCTTAACTAGAATAGCAGGTGCTGCATACGGTGAGTTTGATTCTGTGATTAGACCATCTTTCAGAAATTCTTGGATGATTTTATACATTGCTTCTTCTGTATTTGGCTGTGGGTATGGTTTCATTGCTGGAGGTGAATGTGGTATAGTGTTAATTACATGAGTAATTGGCGTATTTGCAATATTATGTTTAGTCGTATCAAAAAAATTTTATGAAAACGAGATAAAAGTGATAGTAAATCATCATGTTGTTTGTCGTTCTCTATTTTACTGATTAATTCACGAATATCTTGTTCAACTGCTGGATGTATTTGTTGAATAGCATTACAAGAAGTGTTTTGATGATTATGCTCATTGTTGTTCCTTATTACGGGTATCACGTCAGAACTGGCTGCACCAAGTGTTTTAGGTTTACAACAAGAAGCATGATGCTGAGGATCTGGTGATGGATAACAAAATAAACAGCCGATGCATAGGCCTTTGTCAATAAATTTTGGATACGGTGAATCGTTAGATAACATAATGGTAGAATAATAAGATTGAAACGAGAGAAGTGTATGTGCAACGACTAAAGATGTATTTTGTTTAAAACGAGAATTCGGAATAAACGGCGACGTAATAGACGAAATAGGAATAGAAACTGTAGTTTGACGGTTTGAATTAGGAGGAAGATTTTCTGATTTAGCTAACGTTACTGGAAGTATTTCGGGTTTTGTATCTTTATCGATGTGGATCAACCATGTTTTATTATTAGTTTCAATTGTTATAGTTTGATTTTTTATGTCGATGTTAGGTTATATCGATTTATATAGTCCATTCCTAAGATAATGTCGGTGCAAAGATTTTTTGCTACATGAGCATGAATTTTTGTTGTTTGAGTTCTAATTTTAATGCACAGTTCAACAACTCCTAATACATGAAATGGTACTACTCCGTCAGCAAGAACAAATGTTTTTTGGTGTTTATTTTTATATTTTGAATGTTTTTGTTTTACGTAGTAGTTTTTCGTTGATAAATGTTGTAGTTGGTCCAGTATCTATGAGTATGCGCATTTTACAATGATTGATGAGTGGGCTGATGAAGATTAAAGATGATTTTGATGGATTTTGTTTGTTATGATCGAAGGCAACACCATCACTCGTTGGCTCCGTGACTAGAAACGGGGACAGGCCGAAGCCAAATGTCCAGTTTCTCCACAACGAGTACATGTAATTGTTGACGGTGATTCTTGATCATTTACAGCGGCAACTGTTTGTCTTTGTTGATTATTGCGTTGCTGAGTATTAATCGGATACTGTTGTCGTTGTTGATCATTTCGTGACTGGTTATTAGAATTATGATAATATGAAGGTGGTTGAGATTGTTGATTAAAATGCAAATTTGGATTTGAAAATCTTGGATTTTGTTATAAAATAGTGGTCGATATGAAGGAGAAAATCTCGGACTTTGTTATGATTGTGACATTGAAGACCAATGCATGAACGGTTTTTGAGAAAAACGAGGATTATAATCATTGTTATTAAAGAAACGTCTCGGATTTGGATGTGAACGAAGTATATTTGATGATGTTGGAAATGTTGGATGAGAATTATTGTAGGATCGAGTTGGTATTGTTATTGTTGAAGATTCAGTAGAAGTAGGTTGGTTATAATTGTTATTATTTGATAATTCAATAAGTGCTTCTACTTCTCGAGCATATTCAAGAAATTGTGCTACTGTGAGCGGTTTTCTCTTTCGTGTCAAATTGTAAACTAGCTTCCATTTTTGCCATTAAATATTTCAATTTGAAAGCTTCACTCATTGTTGAATCAGCTTCTTTAAATATTTTATTCATTTCTGTGTAATAATTTCTGATTGATTGATTTTGACCTTGATAATATGATTCTAATTTTTTAAATGATAACTCAGCTTCAAATGAAGAAGTGAAAGCACTTTTTATTTTGTCAACAAATTTTTTCCATGTTAATATATTCTGCTTATTATCTTTAAATCATGATAATGCTTCACCTTTTAATTGATAGGATATAATACTGAATTTATTATTATCTGGTATATCAGCTGTATCAAACTGTGATTCTAAATCTTCCAGCCATTTATACACACCCTCTTTTCCTCCTGAAAACGTTTTTGGATTTTTTGTCATGCTCTTCATAATAGCTTTGCGCAAATCAATTAATGTTTGGTTTAATGAATGTGTGGTTTCATTTAGAGGCGACGATAAGGATAATAGAGTTGGAATATTTATAGATGTTTTATTTGTTCCAAAGGTCAGCTTTTATTTTGGATTTATTGATGATTCGGTTGACGACAACTGTGCTGGTAATGTGCTAAACTTAGCTGCAGCGCCATCTATCGCAGATTAATTTATTGCTGGTATCACGCCAGAACTGGCTGTACCAAAATAGGTTGTACTACGATATAGTGGTTGATGATGTTTAAAAGTTTCATTTATATTACTAGTCGCTGGACGCAACGTTGATCGGTCTAAGGATGCGCTGCGGGGAGGTTTTCTTTTTCCTTCAAGCTTTTCGGTTTGATGTGTTCTTGGTATGAGTGTGGACATAGAAGATTTATCATATTCTTGTAACAATAATTCATAAAAGTCATCAAATGAAGAAATGTTATGTCTGAGACGAATATACCATCTTTTTGCGTTATGTGAAACTAATAAAGGCACAGCTTTGTGACGATAATGATAATTAAACTTGTACTGTTTAAATTTTTCTTCAGTTATATCAATCCAATCAATTACATTTTGTTTTCGATCAAAGGGATCGAAATTAATTAATACAAAAAGGTCAAAATCTTCTTCTTGGTTATTAATAGTTTTTGTTTTTTTTTTCATCATCACGTATATCATTTTCATCATCAGATGAAAGTTTATCTGCTTCCTCTTGCTTTTGAGTTATAAGAGAATCTAAACTACGTTTTCTGTTATCGTGTTTATGAGTTATTGAAGCAACGTTAGTCTGTTCGTCATGCTTTTCATCTTCTGACTTTTTTTTGTTTTCATTTACTGAAATTACGTCCTGCAATTTGAAATTATCAAAATCAATCATGATTGAATCTATTTGGTTGATTCGGTAATGAAATGATGTTTTTCGTCTATGTTTACCGAAATGAGAATTTAATCTCGTTGGTTTTTTCTGTTTCTAATGAATTCGGTGTTTCGTTGACTTCTTCGCGTTGTTGTTCAGTTTGTGATTTATTTGTTGTTAAATGTGTTAAAAATGATGTGTGTGTGTTATGCATTTAAGTTTTAACATTTTTAATTATTGTGGCATGTTAATTTATTAAGAGTCAGGACTTTCAGTGTTAAACAGTTGCAGACTAAACTCCTCTTCTCCACCGGAAATGATAGGTGCTCAATTCAGAGGGCTAACAAGACTCCTACTGCCACCAGCAGCTGGAAAAGTCACCCTAGAGTATGACCCTCGTCTGCAAAAGGATCTGAGCAGATCACCAAGTCTCTATTTCACTTACCTAGATCAAATGCGAAATTGAGTATATATCAAATGTATTGATCGAAGTATATAGATGAAGGAGAAGTACAATACACAAACGATAACAAAAACGATACAAAAGAAAAAAGTGAAAACTAACTTAATATATATGTGGTATATATATATAGTATGTATGTATATACATATGTATGTAGTATGTATGTATATAGATGTAGTATTTAAGTTACTAATAGACCAAAAATAACACAGCACTTAATAATACAGACGACAGAGTAGTCTGTCAAAAATTCTCTCTCACGCGTGGATAAAAAAGAGAGAGAAAGAAACAAGAATGAAAGGAAAAGAATGTGGCTATCTAGGAGTCATTGCACGAGAAAGACGACTCTTTCTGACAGAAGCGCGCTCAATGACCATCTCAGATGTTTTTCTAAATAGTCTCATCTTGTAGAGCATGTTCGAAAACCTATAAATCCAAATTTTTAGCCTTCCCAAACTTTTCATTCTGTAGATATGAAATTTTTTCGAGTCGAGTAAAGTTCGAGAAGTTATGCGCGTGAAAAACGTAAATTTCGTTTTTCTCGTGAACGATACGAGATGGAACCACGACTTTTTCGGTGTAGATAGTACTCGATGTCTACCATATAATGACATACAAATATTACGTATACCTCTTACCCCACACATTACAGCAAGACCGAAACGGAGCACTTTTGTGAGAGATTGATCTCGTTATTATTTACGTTGAAGTCGGACTATTTGCAGTAGATAGTACTCTCAGTGTACTATCTGGAATCACCGTCAAAAGTTTGGGATACGCAAATTTGTTACAGAAATTTTGCGACCAAAGTCGAAGAAAACAGGTCGTCGTAAACATTCACTTTGAATGTCTTTCTGTCTTAATTAAAAACTATATATTTTCAAAAGAATACCATTGGATAGCCCGTGAAATTCTCTACAAACTGAGTTGGTCAGAATATCTAAACAGGTGCGTCCAGTCATCAAAGATATGTAAAAGAAGCGTTTGTGTGTTATATATGCAGTACAGTGTGTAATAATCATAAGAACTCCTCTGTTTTTGACTTTTCAGTAAAAGCTGGAACCAATCTGAATACTGTTTTGAATAGCCCGGAGATTTTTCTATCAGATGAGGCGCATATCGCCATTTTATGAGAAAACTTGAAAATAGAGTTTCTAGAAAACCTGAAGGCTAGAAAACCAAGTATTTGGTTTTTCGTCTGAAAATTTTTGCAAAGGATATAGCCTGATAGAGCAAAGAATTCTGAGCAAAATAAGATATCTCCCAGCGCTCTAAATGCTTTTTCACTCAACTACAGTCCATTTACGAATGGCTACAAACGGGGTAAAAATTATCAAATATTCTGGTGAAAAAGCGTTATAGAGAGACGGGAGATATCTTATTTTGCTCGGAATTCTTTGCTCTATCAGGCTATATCCTTTGCAAAAATTTTCTGACGAAAAACCAAATACTTGGTTTTTTAGCCTTCAGGTTTTTCCTTATAAAAAAATCTGAGATGGTCGTTGAGCATCACTTGTCGTGGCTTACGTGCAATGGCTCCTAGTGACAGTTAACGACAACAATGGTCTATTGTTGTAGCTAACAGTTACTTGTATGATCAGCTATAGAAAGTAAAAGTAAAACATAATGTAGTAGTAATGGAGTGGCCATGGTTCCGTCTCGGTTCAGTTTCTGTTTAATTTGTGAACTTTTTCTCTTGTTTTAGTTCCAATTATTCCCGATTATTTTTATCAACTAGAATATCCGTTTATCACCGACAAGCGTGTTAATTGTACATATATCAATATAGACTATAGTGCAAATCCATATGAACAAGAAAGACAACTGCACTACATATCTGAACTGTTGATTCAAGCATTAGAGCAAAATAAAAATATTAATATTTCTCGTGCAGGAATTGACGTTTGTAGCTCGATTAAGAATATAAGAGTAAAAAAACATTCACAAAAACATCCAGAAACAACGAATAAAGAAGTTTTAATCGAAGTGAGTTAATCAAATTCCTTTTACTCTTTGATTAATGAGGATAAACTGCTTCATTAGAAAGGTGGAAAAGTTAATTATGGTCAATACCGCTAAAATGGCTGGCATAAACTTAAAGCAATTTAACTTCAACGGTGAACTTTTACGTTTTCAACTAACAATTAGTCTGTTCTGCAGAGAATTTCAAGCTCTATCACCTATATGATTTGCACGTCATTCGGACTTATCGTTAAGTAATTAAGCACCAATTTTTCAATCAAAATCATTCGAAGTAATTATGCAAGTACACAGCTATTTTTCCTGGGGTAATTATGGTCAATTCCTGCAAATTCCACGGAAGAGACAGAGTTTGGATGCCACCCGCTCACTGAGACCGATTTTATCCAAAAGTCAAGTGATGAAGCTTTAGAGAAGGTTGTTCGCTATCACATGAAGTGAAAACTGAGACAAAACGCATGCCTCTAACGATTTGTAGCCATTTAATGAATCTGGCATAATTTCAGCACACTTTTGTACCTAATCTTTCACCGTCTAATTAAGGTAGCACCTTTAATTATTTTGTAATCAAAAGAGTGTTAAACGTTTCTTATTCTACAGACTCTCCTCTATCTCATGAATAAAAGCAAAGTTTAAAAAATGAGTATCTAATCGGAAGATTCAATGTTTAATTGTATGAGTCCCAGCATTTCATGTGAAGTTGCGATCTTTTCTAGGAAAGAATGAAGTGAATTAAAAAAAGTTTATTCAGAAGTCGTTAAGATACATGATTGATTTTTTGACTGTACGAAAAACAGACGTTTATGAATACCATGAGTCAGGTGGTATGCATGCCTTGCAAGCGTATCTTATACATGACGTGCAAGGTATTAGATTAGAAAATTGGTAGTGACACTTAAAACAATTGGTAAGTTGAGCTGGTATTAGATTAGTATGGTGATTAGACGAGATTGAATTATATGATAGATAGTTATTCGGATCAGAATAAGGAAATTATTAATTGACGAAGAAGTGTAGTGAGAAGACATGGATAATTACAAGGTGATGATGGATAAAACACAGTTGTACTAGTTGGAGCACGTGAAGTAGCAGTGATTGAATTTCCTAGAAATTCAAATTTTATAGTATAAAGTGTTTGATGAGATATGTTACGTCTTATTAGTGTTGGAAACTAAAGCTGGCATATGATTCCAACGAACTGAGGATAGATAAGAATACTGAGAATTCTAAATTGTTGGTTGCTGCAAATTTGATAATATCAAAGATGTAGATGAGACAATACTAGATATTGTGCTGGTTGTATTAGTGATGGTTGCGGTTTCCCTATATGATTCCAGTGCCTTGAAATCATATGCCAGGTTTGGTTTCTAACACTAATAATAAGTAACATATATCATCAAACAATTCATATTATGGAATTTGAATTTCTCGGAAATTCAGCCATCGCTACTTCACGTACTACCTTAATTAGACGGTGAAAGATTAGGTACAAAAGTGTGCTGAAATTACGCCAGATTCATTAAATGGCTACAAATCGTTAGAGGCATGCGTTTTGTCTCAGTTTTCACTTCATGTGATAGCGAACAACCTTCTCTAAAGCTTCATCACTTGACTTTTGGATAAAATCGGTCTCAGTGAGCGGGTGGCATCCAAACTCTGTCTCTTCCGTGGAATTTGCAGGAATTGACCATAATTACCCCAGGAAAAATAGCTGTGTACTTGCATAATTACTTCGAATGATTTTGATTGAAAAATTGGTGCTTAATTACTTAACGATAAGTCCGAATGACGTGCAAATCATATAGGTGATAGAGCTTGAAATTCTCTGCAGAACAGACTAATTGTTAGTTGAAAACGTAAAAGTTCACCGTTGAAGTTAAATTGCTTTAAGTTTATGCCAGCCATTTTAGCGGTATTGACCATAATTACCCAGTGAAGAACGTAATTTCCTCAAATGGGGTAATTATTGTCAGTCGAAAGGTGCTCGCAGGAAATTGAGTAATACTAGTTAATGCTAATAAATTCTCAGAACATTCTTGCGTAAGTGGATAGCAAGGAGTCATCGCTATTTACTTGTAAAATATGGCTGTTCCCAGATGAAAACAGAGCGAACTGTAGCAGAAATACGACGAAATTTTGAGGATCTGACCATAATTACCTCGAGGCAGTCTATTTATGTTTAAAGAATTAGTGAAAGTAGTAGAGCCATTCAAGTGATAATGAATCGAGAAGAAAATAGAGAAATATAGTATTATTTTTGTTACGTAAGTTTAAAGCTGATCCTTTTCCAAAGCTAATCAATAATTTTTGAGAATTTCATCACACTGCTCAATAAGAAGTTTATTTGATATGATATTCACTGCTTACTGCTCTGCATGACGAGCAAGAAGACATTAAACATATATTCGTCTGCATGCTATAAATTCCCAAAAAGAAAGCCAGAAAGTCATGCTAGCCAACAACTCTATTAAGAAACGATTCCGCTTGTAAATTGACATAAAAAGTACATCTTCATCCCATAATCAGCTCCGATATTGACGGTCCTTATACCAAAAAGTCGACTGTACCCTTTTCTAAAAAATAGCTCTGCATGCAGTGCAATTTGTGTACTTTAAACTATACTTAGGTTGGACAAAACAGACCGTATACTGCAGTAAACGGTTAAAAAACGGTATATTTACGGCGGTCTGCAATACTGCGTACGGTAATCCGGTGAAATACGGACCGTATTTCATCGTTTACGGCCGTAAACGATTTTACAATTTTAATTTTGTAAATCCAATTAATTGTGAATCCATAATTTTTAGCGTGCTGTCCTTTGAAGCGCTTAAGTCCATGACGAATTTTGTCGGGTTACTATTCTTATTACTGATGCCAAGCTGCGGTAATTGTTAAACGGAGCAGTTGATTATCTGTAGATCTTGACGGTCTGTGTTTCTTCATAACAAACGAAAACTATGTATGTGTGTATTCTAGGAGAATGGACGCATTGGTCTTCTGTTTGCTTCTAATCAGATCATTCACGTATAATGTCACTATTATTTTTTCACCTTCTTTTATTGTCCCTCTCATCCTCATCACCATTATATACTGCTTCTGGGAAACTAGATGCTTCCACAACTTTTTTTGATAAGAAATCATTTGTAACATGTGACTATATGTAACCCACACACATACACGTATACAATATGTTCTGTGAGTGAAACTTCAGACTAAGTTTGAATATACTAAATGAATCGAACAGTACTAAAAATAAAAGCTATAACATAGGGAGTGTTATTTTACTCTCATCAATCTAGCAAATCGTATGAAATTTGGATCTCAGAATCACTTTCTTAGCGTGCATTGTGCTTAGTTCTTCATTCTCTTTTTAGATTTTCCCCTTATTCCGTTTTTATCGAAAAAACGCGATTATTTTTTATCAACGCACTAGTTATATTTTGTTCTATGATTCTCTAAGCAACCAGAACTGCTGTCCAAACTTTTGCCGAACAAGCCTGCGATATACAAAACAAAACTTGATAGAAAACAGTTCTAGAGACTATGCGCTAAGGAAATCATTTGTGAGTGTCGAATTTCGTAGGGACTACATAATTCGAACACGCTTGTGAAAATCACTTATCAGAAAAGTTTTCTTTATCTTAGCTGCTTCAAAGTTCTGCACATTCGATATGTTTTTCTAGCGTTCCAGAACACCTCTATTCTGCGTCAAAAATTAGATATTTGTGATACTAGTAGTCTCAGTCTCAGACGTGCGGAACAGGGCTGAGGGCTTTTCTAAAAATTTCGCGGAGTGGGTCAAGGACCAAACTTTCAAGAAAATCTTGAAATAAAGCACAAGAAATCATTAAAAGATGCGAAAATCTAAGAAAAATGACTAGTTTTCTAAAAAGTTCTGTGGAAATTTGCAAAAATCGAGTCATTAAAGACAAGAATTTGTTATTGACTTTTGAAAGGATCAAAAAAACTTATTCTCGAACTGAAACAAAAAGGGCTTGTCCTCCATATCTCTACAAAAAAGTCATATCATTTTCTTCATCTAGTTAGGTAACGTAGCAGCGGATTTAGGTTTTTTGCCCTAACATTTTTTTATTAGAGCTGTGCAATTTTCAAACATTCGCATGCCGTATAAAATTCGATGAGCTCTATCGAATAGCACGTTTAGATTTTCGAAAGAATGCTCGGAAAATGAACAATACAAGAAAATACATGTTTCTTCCAGAGACACCTAACAATTGACCTAAGGGCGGTGCACAAAAGATATATGCTGAGAAGAGAAGTTCGGCCTTTAAGGGGGGTCCAACCCCTCTTTTTTATTTGGATATATTGTACAGTTCGATGGGCCACGTCACAATAAGCCCTCCTTTATCGGGTCACAAATGTGAAAAAGTGATCAAAATTCAGTTACAAAATTTTTCTTCGCATGTATTTTGCTGAGAAATGAAAAAGTATTTTGGAAAAAACCTTGCCAAAAATGCTGCAAAAACGGTCCACGATGGAACAAAACTTTTGGTACAGAAAATGTGCGCAATGGCCAACTGCGGGGGATAACGTTGTCTGATTTGCAAGATTTTCTTCTATACATTTTAAATTCAAATTCTTTTAAGATTTAAAATTTAAAAAGATTTAAATTTAATTTTTTTCAAAATTTTTCCATTAACCCTGGCTAATAGACGACGTTATCCCTCGTAGTCGGCTATTGCGCACAATTTTTGTAGCAAGACGTTTACTCCACCATGCTTCGTTATTGCAGAATCTTTGGCAAGAGTTTCACATTGCAGTTAAGCAGTGGCTCCTCACACTTTATCAAACTATGTCAGTTTGAAAAGGACGACTGGATTTGAATTTGAAAGATTGTAACATGGTGGCTAGATATCCCAAAGTGCTCTCTACAATTCTGCGCAAGACCGACCTCCCTATCTGTTGTGGTTCTCGAATGGCAGGCATTTTCTCAACAGAAATGGTAACGAATTACGGGTGATTCCGGAAAATGCTTGCCAATCGAGAATCATAACAGATAGAGAGATCGGCCTTGTGCAGAATTGTAGGGAACACCTTGGGCTATCTAGTCACTATGTTACAATTAGAAATCCATCCCAGGTTCAGAACCTGGCAACCTCATCGGTTTTCATCCATCAGGCACACCGCCTGAAAAACCAAGATTTTTGGCATCAAATATATGTGAAGATAGAGTAGAGCCTTCTGTACAAAATGCTGAAAACCCAAACTCTCAATCTCTTTTCGTTCTCGAGTTATTCAAAAAACATCCATGGCCGCTCTGTTCAGAAATCCATAGTAGAAGCCCCGTTTGCCTAAAACCGAGTACAAATAACTGCTTATCGGTAGCATTTTGAAGAGGCAAATACAGGCGTTTGTAGCGCTTGGAAATCTCTGTCGAATGACTATTACTTCACCATTTCCAATAAATCATTAATTTGCAAATAAAAGTGTAACGCACCAGAGTGATATTAATTAGTATTTATTAGCATGATTAATTATAAATTATTATCTTAAGAAAGCTTTTTTTAAAACGTTTTTCATCAAACCATAACAAGAGACCATTGGCTATCAAGCAATGCATGAATGACTTTTCTACGATTATTTTTGTCTGAGCTACGAATTTTTTTGAAATGATGACTAGGATTTTAAATTTTAATTAAAATTTAAACTTAATTAATTAATAACTCTGCGAATAGCTATCAGTTCATCGAGCGAACTTAAAGATATATGTAATCAGGTGTCCTCTTTAAACTGACATAGTTTGAGGACACATATTAGAGGAAGAATCCCCCCTTAATACCTCCATGCAATGGGAAAACTTAGAATTCATTGTTACATTTATTATAAATCGGTGCGCTTGTTCATGCGGTTCCACTTAGTACTGTTCATCAACTACGCTAGCAAGTTCTTACAGTTTTGAAAAGCATGTTCTGATAGTTCGTATTCGCTGGGAGAAGTTTTGTTATTGTTCGCGTTCTTATTCTTATGGTTGAAATTATTTCGGGCGCACATTTTCGGATTAACTGAACGCTATTTTTATTCAAGAAGTGACAAAGAAACACTTAAGATTGGAGACTAAATTCTTTTAGTTCGGACAAGAGAAACTTTCGATATGAACCATAACGAAACCCTACAAGAGATATGTAAAATACTTTTTCTAATGCTTCGCACTCGGATTGCTTATGCTTCTAACCAAAACTTTCCTATGGTTCAGATTAAACTTTTAGTTCCTAATATTTTCGGAAGGAGTTGAAAATGAAAGCATTGTTTTTAATGTAGAAGTCACTTTGAAACATAAGTAACAAAACGTTAATATGAGCCATAAGGACGACGTTTCTAATCATCAGATATACTTTTGATAGTTCCCGAATTACTCTTATGATTCTCGCTAAGACTCAAAAACCACCATGAAAGAGTGTTTGTAGACATTACTTTTGTTAAACTTTAAGTGTTTTTGCAATCTGTCGGCTTAAAACATAAGCAAATTGTTTCTCAGTCCTCGCTTACCCCTTTAGCATTGGCTACGGTATACCAATGTTCTTAGGTTTCCTCATCATGTTTGCTTCAACAATCAGTAAGAAAGTATAAAAGAAAAGAGGAATATGTCATTTTTATGAGTCATTTCTATTTCTTTGTTGACTGTTGCAGCATTTGCATTTGGAAAAACATATGTATTACTATTTGTATCACGAGCAATTCAAGGACTGGGTTCAGCATTTTCAACAGTGTCCCGTATGCCTCTTAGATATAGATTAAATATTTGTGTGTGGTATTAGATAAGTAACGTTCATCTTTCACATTCATTCTGTTCCTGCGTAAGCACGTACAACGGTGCTGCCGTAAGATAGCCTTGCTTGTCTTTTACAAACGCGATGTACAAGCTAAATCAGAAACGAGGCGCTTGTATACTTTAAGTTTAATGACAGAGTTTCAGTCTTATACCTTGTTTACGTATGTGTGTGTGTGTGTGGTGTTTTTCCGTAATGTTAAAGACTAGCATCTTCTAGGTATGGGTATGCTACTTGGTCAATATGCTGGAAATGAGGAAAAACGTGGGAGAGCAGTTGCATTTTCAACAAGTGCCATATCACTTGGCGCTGCTGGTAGAATTGACAATCTATTGTATACTTTTGTCAGGCTTTTTGTATGTTTTTATGTTTACTCTATTCTAGTCGTACCACTTTATGGAGGATTGGTCTATTATTATCTTGGTAAACCAGCAGTATTTCTGATATTAGCTGCTCTGGTATTATTCGATGGATGTAAGTGAGCTACAAATAGTTACATTGTTTTCCAAGAAGGAATAAAGAAGCTCTGGTCCAATTCCGTTTATAGTACTTCGTTTAACGGTTGTAACGTCAACTTCAAACGGTTCAAAGCCTCTATTGACCAATACGCAAGGTAATCCTCCATCAGCCCCAAGTGAAATCACCAAGCAACATGCATCAATAGTCACACTTTTACAAGATCCATATCTACTACTAGCGTTAGGTAAGATAAAAAAGTGCCTCTTTCTTGTTCTTCTGTGCGAAGGGCGCAAACAAACGACAAAAATTGTTTAGGGGCATTGTTTCTAAGCATATTCGGCGTCATTATCAATATGGATGATGGTTACAATGAATTCCTCGGTATTGATTCAAGGTAGTAAATGAGCATTTATCCACTCGATCGACAAGAACTCTTTTCATTACTTTTATTTTTCGTCTACCAATCTAGCTTTGGCGTTTTTAACTCTCAGTCTTACATTATTCATCAGTCAAAACGTATTCGGTCTGGCAGCATATAGAATTGGCCGATGGTTGGGTAGTCTGGTTGGATTAATAATTCTTTCTATATCATATATTTTGGTAAGCAGAGTAGCATGCTCAAGTGTACCATGTGTTAGGAACGAAGAATCCGTGTTTCATTTGTTGAACACGAATGAAGCAGGAAAACATTTTTTAGGAAGATGTTTTTTGTAGGTTTCGTTCTCACATTCAATCAGTTATTTATTCATCTGTATGGCATGCATTGGTCTATCAATCGGTATGATATCGGCCAGTGTAGGACCGACATTGGCTTATCTTATCGATATACGTCATTCGTCTTTCTACGGAAATCTATCAGCTATAGTCGAATTAACAATTTGCCTGTCATTTGCGCTCGGTTTGTAACAGGAAAAAATAGAAAGAAACGAGAGATAGTTGAATTCACTCTCTTTTTTGTCATTTAGGACCGGCACTTAGTGGTTATCTTCTCCATTTAATTAGTTTAGAGGGTTAGTTTTTATCATTGCATTTTTATGTTTATTTTATTCACCATGGTTACTTTTCCTTCGACAACCACCCAGTAAAAATGACGAAGAACAAACAGTACGTATTAAACAACCGAATTTTCCTTGCTATAACTAGGCTGATCTTATTCTCTTCGCTTCTAGGTATTGGTTTCAAATGAAAATCATAATTTAGTTTCAAAATGAAATGAACTGTTCAGCTAATTTCTGACTTAAAAATATTTTTAAAAATACTTGAACAGCAGTTCGTGGTCGTATTTAAAAATATTCTAATTTCCGGTGAAAAGACAAAATTTATGCGCTACACGGTCACAAAAAGGAATTCGAAATCGCGAGCTTCGTACCGAATTAACCAACCCGGTAAAACGTCTCTCCATTTTAACTGACTTTCCTTTGCTTTCTCCGAATCGAAAAGAAGCATGAAATGATCTGGTACTCTCTAAAAAAAAAGGTACTCTACCGAACCTAAAAAGGATTTAAACTTTTGTCACCATCTATATAAGGTGCCGCTAATTCAAAACATTAGTGAAAAAAATGGATCTTATCGAATTATACATCGTTGGATAGAGCTCGTCGAGCTGATCACGAATATGACCTTTAAAAACTTTAAAAGTGAAATGTACGGCTGAAAAGTTTGAAAAACGAAAAAATCGAAAAAAGCGACCGTTTTCGAGTAACCGAAGAATTTCACCCTTTTACTTGTCTCGAATTATTTTGTTTTTATTTTATTTGGATTCAGCACTAAAAGTTGAGTATTATCAAGTGCTTTTGAAAAAAATTCAGCTTGACCCTGTCGCGTGGGTGAACGTCAAAGGCAAAAATGACCTTTTTATCTGCCAAGTGTATCTCCTCTCTGGTTTCGAAAGTAAATGCCAACTATTATACACCATTAAAACCGTCATTTCACGGGCTACAAAGCTACGTTGAGTTTCTTTCAAAATAATTTTTTCTCTTCTCAGAAAATCGTTCATGTTCTAGGTGTTACAGCGCACCATCACACAACGTTCATCACTTTTCTCCTGAACACGCATTTTTCACTTTTCAATGGTCACAAAGTGTTAAAAACATATTTGGGTGATGAGCTAGTCTTCCAAGAGATACGTATGAGTAGTTAAGAGTCTTTCTTCTCATCGTTATAAGTGCAGAAACGCCTACTGTCTACCACCACTACTACTATCTATTCTATGTATTTTCCCTTTTTCACTTCCTGACTCATCCTAAAGACAGTGTTCACAACAAGTACCAGTCTTTCTATTCACCTAGTAATATTTATCTCACGATGCCAAAGTCTTTGATCCATTTTTTTTCACTAATGTTTTGAATTAGCGGTACCTTACCTTTTTAAGGTTTCATTCAAACCACGACACCTTTTAAAGTTTCGTACGACTCTTTAAGGTTTCGTACAACTTTTTAAGGTTTCGTACAGCACTCTAAATAAAAATTTGTGTAAAAACACAAAAAAAGGTGTTTTCTGAGTG